CAGCTATTGCATTCCAGTTTAAGGCTATTCACTACCATACTGGAGGCCTAGATTCTATTCCTGATGTGGCTATGAGTTCCACATCACCATAAAACGGCTTCACAATGATCTGTAAGTGCCTGGCTTTATCCTCAGGTGAGTTTGCCCGTCACACTTACAAAAAGACTAACTTCTTTTGCCTAGTTCTTAATCAGTACTCTGCCTATCCTGCAAGTACTGAGGAACGAGTAAAAACAGAAAATAAAAGGAGTCGCTATTTGCCTGTAACCAAACGTATATTTATAACGAATGTGGTTATAACTCAATAATATAAAAACAGGTTTACCACTTATCTATACCCGTAGGAGTAGGATGCTCGAGGAGTATGCTTGTAGGAGAGTACAGCGAGGTAGAAAGCGTACAAGTGCCAAAATGTACTAGAAGCGTAGTGCAGCACGCGAAGCGAAGTGGCGAATTGGAGTAGTGCCAAAAATTGGATGAGTGAGTTAAAACAAAAGTTCAATGTACACTACAGATCTTCGATTTTAAAGGATTCTCTGGCTGATGACATTTTGCCGTGAAATTTACACCAGGGTGATTCAAAATCCGTACAAAACCAAAGCATTCAAGTATTAAAACATGTACGAAGCATCATATTACTCTACAGAGAAATATTTCTTTACTGATCAGTCATTGGTGTAAATCTGACCGTTTATTGATTTCGCCTACTCTCCTATTTACAATCCTTTATCACTTAGGATGCTTTTTTGATAAGGACACATACTTACTCGTGTTCCTCTGTTTAACAGGTACAATCAATGTCTTAGATGTGGTTAGTGACCTAACCAGCTTGACAGATATGCACGAAATTTAGAACAGACTGATGGATATTCTGCTGATTACTGGCCACTGATAATGTTGTTACTAAGATAAAGTATATGAATTTGGAAGCACAGACCGCGGAAATACGATTCACGGAGCTTAGGGTAACCTGTTTAACGAAGACCTTGTTTGGAGACTCTTCCAAGAAAAATATAGGCACAACATTCATGCATATTTAGATGTTCCAACTAAATGTGTGATTATTGTCCGTTTCTCTCCTGGAATGTATATCGCTAATTTGACATTTGAATATTATATGTTGATTTTATTCTCATCATTTGCCTTTGTTACTGTTCAATCTGAGCTTTCAATGCTTCTTTTTGTGGTTGTGAGTACATGTTCGTGGGTAGCATTGGCGTTTTATTATTGTCAGTAGAGTTTTTATTCTCACCTTGTTAGGAATATTCTACTTGATTCTAAGTACTCGTTTTATACAGAGGCTGAACTGTTTAGCTGCCTAGCTGCACTGTTGGGGTTATTTCGAGTTTTTGACGTTACAATTATTTTAATAGAACCGTTAACTTAGCCTGACTTTGAAGTGTTTCCTGACTGTGTGTTTCTCAAGGTAGTTTTAGGCAGCTATAGAGTAGATCTCTTTACTGCGTTCAGAACACGTAGATTCGCTTTTGGCAGCTGCTACCTGAATAAATTGCAGTTTGAGCTTTCTAGTTTTGACCTCACCTCCTGTCTCTGTATATTTTAACCAAGTTTGGTTAACGATGACGGTTTTTGCTTCTGATGATTAGAGTTATCGCGAGAGATTTCTCAAGTAGCTACGAAAGCACACGGCATCACATAACTCAGTGACCCTAAAGACGAGTGCTAGATGATTTCTGTCGTAAAGCAAATCATAAAGACCGTTCGTAACGCTGATTTCAACAATCCTCTTAAACTCATATGTACATAGACATTTTTGAGTTGTATAAAATTGCTTAAACAGGGTTTATATGACCAAACATGGTTCGTTCTTTTACTGAACATGCCTCAGTGATCCAGTTCAAAACAAAAACTTCATTTACATAGTAACATGTCTGACATTTTTGTATATTACCACTTATGTGCTTTTCTGACACCGTGAATTAGCACATTGATGTATAATGGCTCCAATTAGACTTTAAACAGTCAAACAACCTTAGAATGTATTATGCGAATGTATTATACTTTGTGTCAAGGAGGCCGCTCATCTACTTTCTCAAGATTGAGATGTAGTCAATTTGGTTTCCGGTGTATCCCTTAGGTGAAATGCATGTTGACTTGTGTTTATCCTTGTGCTTGCAAAGGTCACCTCCAAGCGTTATACGCTATTATTCATTCCATTGAGAGCCATTCGACCCAAGCTGTACTCTCTTTGTGCTGTCCACTTGCAGTGCGGCATTCATATTGCCCATTCGAATTTTGATATTACCGTTTAAGATACTGTCCATTACTGTGTGCTGTTATGAATAGAATTCTTCATTCTTCTCTAGTTCTGAGTTTTTGTAGGCTCATAGCACCGAATAATCGTTACCTTCCGTCCTTTTGAGTTGAATCTTTCTGTCTTTATTTTAGAGGATATTGGTTTCCACTGCAATGGAACATTGGTTGCCACTAGTGACATCATGATAAGCACTCCCTAAATGTCAGTAAACTTACGGAATCCTTCGAAGGGAAGAAGAGAGTAAGACAAGGCTGCCTACTATCGCCAATCATTCTCCTGATTGCAGTAGATTGGATAATGTGACAGATACCGGGCACAAAATGGACTCACACAAAAACTTGGAAGATCTGGACTTCGCCGGTGACATATGTCTGATTTCCCAAAATTTGGAAGATATACAAGCGGAAAGCAACAAGTTGGCGATAGTAAAAGCATCAAAGATAAGACTTCAGGTGAACATAGAGAAAAGAGGTGATGAAGATTCCTGGCCAACATCACCAACAGCAACAACAACAGAAAACAATCAGCCAGCATGGATGGGAATCTGAAAGAAACAACCTCATTTACTTACCTGAGAAGCATCGTTTCAACTACACACGGGCGGAACTGACGAGGATATCAAAGCAAGAATCGGAAAAGCAAGACAAGCGTTCACTACTCTCAATTCTGTGTGGAGGTCAACAGCACTCAGCATCAAAATTAAGATCCGGCTTTTCAATTCCAATGTGAAGTCAGTGCTACTCGCTATACGGATCAGAGACTTACACTGCGCGTCATGAAGAGCATCTCAAACAAACTACAGACCTTCATTAACATTTGTCTTCGCTCAATAATACTCAAGATCAGATGGTCGGCCAGAAAAGATTAGCAACAGAGATCCCTGGTGATGGGCGAACCAACACAACAGGAACCGATTGTGAAACAAATAGGCAGGAAGAAATGGAGGTGGATTGGCTGGCCATACTCTGAGGAAATCCTCAAGTGAGTGACACCACTAGATAAGCCATTGCTCGAGTGGAACCCGAAAGGGAAGCGGCGAGTTGGTCACCAGTGAAACGGTGACTTGGAGGAGGTGATGTGAAGAGGAGATGAAAGCGTGTGGGCAGACTTGGAGCGAGGTGAAGACTGTAGCAGCGAACCGAATGCCATGGAGAAGCGCAGCTGAAGCTCTTTGTTCCTCTGGAAATAAAAGAAAATAATAATAGCCGTTCCTTCCATGTAGACTTTCTGTAAAAAGACCACCTGAGATTAATATCTTCCGGGCATTGCATGGCAATGTCATGGAAATGAAAATTTCAATCGCCATAAACGGAAGAGGTTTGACACAGTTCAAACCACAGACAGATGGAATGGATGAAGTTGTTAAAGCCAACCAGAGAGGATCGAAAATGCAAGATACGCCTTCATCAACCTGAAAGCAGTTTGGAAATCTACTGAACTCAGCTTTAGGAACACAACTCACATTTTTAACACAAATGTCAACTCAGTCCTTCTTTCCCTAAATGTGCTTGTGGTTCTTGTCTGGGTGAACAAAGTACATTGCTGACTCACCAGCTGACAATTTCGATAATCCATATCTTTTCTATCTGCTCTCGCAGACTATCGCACTTTCATGACTCCTTCCCTTATTTATTCGCTGGTCTGGGCAGTCTTCCCTGTTTCGTACACTGTACGGACATTCCACATCCCCATTCTTATTTTTGATCTTTTGAAACAAGTCGCGCAGTGTGTGACTGGCTTCCCGGAACACCTCATCGGCCTGTGTCATTCCGCCTCCCAGATTCCACCGAGTAATAAATTTGTTTTTTGTGTTTTTATTATTTTTCTTGTATTTTGAAGTTTATTTAGCGACTGGATAGATTTTCCGGGGTAAGGTTGGGTTGCTAGCCTCAACCCCAATCCTTAGTTTTTTTCTCGCGCTTGAGATCGTCTGGAAAACTAGCGAGCTAGTAAGCTAGGCTAGATTATCAAACAAATTAGGTCCTCATTTTGTGGATGGTGCCAAGCAGTGAAATCCAAGACGCTCACTTCATCCCATTGTGGGAGTCGTCATCTGGATGCATCTGCAATCCACAGTGGGCTATAGTATGTTTTCAGTGAGACTTGACCTCATAACCCATCACTTTCAAAGCTGAAGAATCACTGATTAGATCCAAAGGGGAATGGCATTCACCTCTTTTCTATAGATTGGTTTGTAAGGGTTAGTTATGTTTTTACGAGTTGATCACGGATTGATATCAGTTAGAGAACCACTGAAAACCAGGGAGTACTGGACAGCTGCTGTAAGTACTCCCTGGTTTTCAATGGTTCTCTAACTGATATCAATCCGCGATCAACTCATAAAAATTCACCTCTTTTGCAACAACTGTCAAAAATTTATGCCGTGTATCAGCAACAATAAAAAGCATTTGGTCAAAATATGATCCAACGCATAATTTAATGTGTCTCTTATTAGAAATAACCGCACATATTTGTATCAAATATACAACTAACTATTTTTTTCATTTATTCATTTAAATAGGGACATGTCAGACAAAAGTATAAAACGATTTGCTCCCGTGCAATTATTCTATGAAGAAAACTGTCATTCTGTTTTTGGGTGAAAGGGAAATATCCACTTCGCCTGCTCACAACAGAGATAATTCACACAGAACTGATATTTAGCCGGAGGCAAGATAAATAAATAATGTGGAATTAAATTCCGAAAAAAAATAGGAAATAGATGATACCATGTAAAATTGTAAAACTCCTCACACTTTTCATTCTCACCGGTTTCAACAGAAATGGAATAACCCAAACTGCATCGAAACCCTCCTCCAGTGTATTTACCTCATCCAAGCTGAAAGCATTCCCCACTGCACAGTCTTCCAATCCACCAGCCAAACTTTCAGAGAAAAATCAAAATGATCAAAGCATAAAATACAACAAAGAAATCACTTACACAATTACTGAAGAATCGAATGTTCCACAATTGATTGGTGATTTAATAAATGACTTCAATTTAAACAAGTATCTGTTGCGTCATGTTTTAAATGAGCCGCGTCAATCTCCTATGGATACAAATAATAATAATAAACAAAATAATCAATCTAAACAAATGCTTAGCATTGATTTGATCGCGAATCATTATCAATCAACACAGATGACAGATGCTGATCTCCCACGCTTGCATTTATTCCCCTCGAATCAATGGAGTGCAGAATATTTCCATATTAATTATCATAATGTATTTAAACAAGAATTGATACAAATTAAAAAGTTAGATCGTGATCGTCTATGTCAATTGAATCACTTCAATAAAACGTCAGAACAACAGCAACAACATCAACAACAACAATTAAAACACTATGATACATGTATGTGTTCAAGTGATATTTGTTCAACGATTTATAGTGAAAAATTGAAATTATCAGCAACGCCATTATTAACCCGTGAAACATTGAACAGCAGAGGGAAAATTGAATCCGGTGAATTATCCTTATTACTACTACCTTATTGTCAATTTATTATGACTTTAGCTATAAATCTGTTTCATACTGGTATGGAAATATTTACTATAAGGATAAAATTATTAGACTTAAATGATAACTATCCAAGTTTTAAACCTTTCACAAAATATGAAGTCAGCTTCACAGAAGACGATCGAATCGGTGTAAGGCATCAACTGCCTCTTGCTACTGATGTAGATATGTGCTTGCATTCAGAGATAACGTATCGATTAGAGGCAGGCGAAAGTTTCAATGAAGAAGAAGAGAAAGGTGTACTCTCTGAAAAGCCTGTTAATTTAAGCAATTTATTTAGTTTAAAATTAACTGAAACGTCGAATACCAAAGTTTTAGAAATCCAACTGGAGCATACACTTGATCGTGAAAAAAGAGACAAATATGATCTTTACTTGTTAGCTATCGATGATAACAGTGATCTGCATAGACGAGAAGAGAACAGGCATACAACCACTCTTCCAATTATTGTACACATTCAAGATGTAAATGATTGTAAGCCCGAATTTCGTGTAATGAATGGATCACGCCAGACACCGGTTAAATTGTCTGAACCTGTATTCATTGAAGTCGCGGAGAATGCTGCAGTTGGACATGTTATCACGCAATTTCAAGCTACTGATGAAGATTTTGGGGATAATGGAAGAATTCGTTATGAAATGGGACAGTATACACATTCAGTTACAAAATCAGTAAGTTCAGAGTGGATATTTTATAATTACTGGTATTGTCAATAGTTTGTTTTTACGAGTTTGACCACGGACTGATTACATCAGTTAGAGAACCACTGAAAACCAGGGAGTAATGGACTGCTGTTTCATCCAACTAGTTCAGGAATAATCTTAAGTACGCACCCACCACAGGGGCTTGAAACTAGGAACTTCCGGTTTCATGGCAAGCTTGTATACTATTCAGCCATTGGAACCCGATTCAATGGCTAGCCCATGAATTCTAACTTCCACCAATTCGTGATTGATTACTACCAACAATCGATGTCATAGGTCATATGAAAAAGAGAAGACGTTCAGCGAAGAGACTTTTCAACGAATTCATTCACATAGCTGTACAATCGCATTTATGCATAATTATTTGTGTGTGTGTGTTTACATGGGGTTTGTCAAGTTTAGGTAATTAATTAGGTAATACAAGAATGATAGAGTATAGAGACAAAGTTAATCAAATAGCAGCTAAAGTAAGATTGTGTTAGTAAGTTAGATGACATAATATATTTGGCTAAAATGGTACAACTTAGATCAGGGTAGTAACAGAGGTAATTACAGGTAGAGATTAAGTAGAAGTGAAATTGAGCAAACAAGTTGGATGACGTAACATAAATAATTAGAAATTGAGCATTGTTCAAGTCAGTCACAGTGGAAATGAGGTGCAGAAATTGAATCGGGTGGGGTTAGAGAACAAGAAAGTTGAAAATGTAAAATATTACAATTGAGAAGACAAAATAATACTAATGAAGAGACAGAAGAAAAGATTAGGTAGAATTTACTTGTCGGCTAATAAGATAGATGACGTCCACTGCAAGTGTAGTGATTGAACGAACTTCTTCTGTATGCAGAGTTCAGGACTTAGCAAGTGAATTGCCATTGCTTCTGCAGTTTGAAGAAGTCTGATTCTTACACCTCAAGGAAGACTACTTCTTACTCTGTAGACGACTTTGAAGTTTGTTTGCGGTGTAGCTTGGTGTCCGGATTCTATCACAGGTGGGAAATCCATCCTCACACTTGACTGGTTGGAACTCACTGGACACGACTCCTCAATAGAACTCCAGGAAACTCTGTTCTGTAGCAAGCCACTAGCTAGCATGAGATTAAATTTTCAAGGGTTTGTCTGTTAATTTCACTATTAAAAATACTTCTGAGAATATATGTGACTACGGGTGGAGTCTGGGATAAGAATTACGTCCTGATAGGCACTTTATAAGACTCGGAGTCAATAACCAACGTTTCAAAGCACAGTAATACTAATTATAATGATTTGCTTTATTCCAAAACACCACCTGTGATAAATAATAGAATTCTAGGTATGATAGAGAAGATTTGTAGCCCAGGTGGATGATTTTGATGTGGTTGTGTTCTCTGAGCTGGATAGTTAATTTGCGAAGCTTTCATCGCCCTACTAGGCGATGTCTCCAGCGCATACTTCAATTTGAATTTCACTCAATTCTACGTCAACCAAAAGACTCAACAGCGAAAGAAGATAAAACCAACATCATCTACAAAATAAATTGTATCAACTGCGAAAAACACTACATTGGCCAAAGTGGACGTCCCCTTCGTCTTCGTATCCACGAACATAAGCTAGCTGTCAAAAGACATGATATCCACTCCCTCATATCACTACACACAGACAACCACGAACATCAATTCGACTGGGACAACGTTCAAATATTAGGCAGAGGAAACAACAAGAATGCTAGAGAATTTTTAGAAGCTTGGAATTCCAGTGAATCATCTGTCAAGAGACACATCGAGACAGACAAAATTTATCAACCGATAAGAAATAAATCTCACACACAAAGGGTCAAAGTTCAAGTCAGAGAAACAATGAATCACAATACAAGTAACCTAGAAGGTGTGGAAACACACAAAAACAACCAATCACGTCCAAGATCACTAGGAGAGATGATTCATAAACTCGTGGACAAATCTGAAAGCTCACTTCAATTTGAAGTATGCTGTTAATATGTCGCCTAGTAGGGTGATGAAAGCCTCGTAAATTAACTATCCAGCTCAGAGCACACAACCATATCAAAATATTTAGCGAATTACGTAGAAAGTTATAAGTTCCACGTTTAACACTGTATCTGTCACATAGAACGTGAGAGGATCAAATAGGATATCTTTGAGTTTCCCCACTTAGTTGCGCGAGAGAGTATATAATATTTAATAATTACTTCTAGTTCTGTTGTGATGAGAAGCAATGAAAGGTAGATTTGTGAATAAAGAGGGTGCTAAGATTCAGATAGTATGGATTTAGACCAATATCTAAGTGTTTTGAGGTGTTCGTTGGTTTACACAGTGGCACACTACTCTCCCTACTCACAACTTTCAATACCTTTCTTAGTATGGCATAGTCATTTTTGAGGAGACCAGTAAATAAATGATAACCTGTACTCATTTAATTGAGGAATTCATGGCCCGTAGGAGCGTGTCCCAGTGGCTTATTGGTCTACGAACTCACCTTGTAATCAGGTTTTGAGTTCGAACCCCTGTGGTAGATGCGTTTTGGGAAGAGTACCAGACAAGGACGAAACAGCTGCCTGCCAGTACTTCCAGGTTTTCCACTGGTTCTCTAACTGATGTCAGGTTATGACGAAACCATCCAACCAAACATACAAATTACCCTACAAAACCAAAACTTAAAAAAAATATAATTTAAAAACTACCATTCAGTGACTGTGAGTTAACTCAACTGCATAGGTCAGATTAGCAGATCAGAGGTAGTCAGATTGTCAGAACATAAGAATTTAGCTAAAGTTAGAATGACTGATCCCACGAAGATAAGTAATTTAGAAGAGAAACTCAGCGATAGCACTGCATGCATTAACACACAATCACACGATAAGGTGGGTGGGGCAGAGTCAAAATTCTAAAATGTAATACAGGTAGGTAGAGAGAGAGGTTGATTACTAAATCCTGGTTCATCGAATGTACACACCCAACACATGCAATAGAAGTGACTCAACGCAAATACCAGAGATATGGAAGATATTATTATCACCAGTCAAATCAGAGGAGGATAATAAATAATCTCAAAATTCTATTTCAATTCACATAAATTATCACATTCTAACAAGTTACTTATTACGACTATAAAAACACTCGTCTTATTTCCCATCTGATTGTAATTGATCAATAACACTCATATTATAATTATTTCTGAATGTACGTTATCTCATATTTAATTTTATTCCAATATCTAATCGATTCCACACATATAGATAAATGAAGCAAGAAAGTTATGTGCGTACTTTGATGTGATTATGAGCAGTAATAGTTTGTGCTCGAAAGGTGGTCATCAGTAAATATTACTGTATAACAGCACTGTGTGATATATCATAATAAAGTCTTATCCATAATGGAGTTATATCTTGTACCCATTGGACAAAAGGTGGCTATCATAACCCATGTGGTCTTCTAGATATCGGTATGGTATCTGAACCAATGAGTGTTAGTTCTCGATCTTACTGAGAAAGCATCATTACCCACTGTAGATTGCAGGAACATGTAGCCTTAAATAGGACGAAATGATCATCCTGGATTCCACTGATAGTCACCGTCTGCCAAATAACGTTATTTTAGTTCCTAGACATCAGAGAAGCTTTATCACTAGTGTGACAGCAGAAGACAAGAGACTTGACTAAAGAGAATGTTTGATGTGTGTAATTTGATATGTACACACCAGGGAATTATTTATATCTCATATGAAAATCGTCATTAGCACGGATCGTTCGTGCTGTCATTCGCATTGTATTTCTTCGTCTATGTTTCATGCCTCTCATGTTTTGCAGCGACAATAGTTTATTTCCTCCGCTTGAGTTCAAATCTATCTCTCTACGTACTACCGAAAAAGCCTGTCAGTAGCACACCCCACACTAGGAGGTTGAATGTCAGAAGATAGGGAACATTTGTGTCAAAATTAGGCAGTACAAAGATTTAATCAGGCCGCCTCATTAGTATTGTTTTGTACGTCACCGAGTAAAGTTTCTTTACAAGCATAAATAGTTTTACATCACTAGACTTGAGCGTATACACGCATCCTTCCCCGTTTCTTCTTCCTGAGCTGAATGAGTTAAATTGGTATATACACATAGAAGAGGCGAAATTAGGCAGTTTGTCTTTTATTCCCGAACGCAGAAGAGGAGTGGTTTTAAAGATACAGCGTAATTCAGCAGCAGGGAATGCTCTTTTTACCGCTTCTCTAAGGCGCTGTGTTAGTATCTCACTGGTGTTGTCTTCTAGGAACTGCATCTGTATGAACAAGGCCTTTTTTGGAACTGTTGGTAACTTTGGCTGCTTTGGTTTCAGATTCAGATTCTTATCAATAAATTTTTCAGGATAACCATTCTCACCTAGCAACCGTTTAACATTGTTAAGTTCCTCGTCAAGGCATTCATCCGAGCAAATCTCTCTTGCTCTGTGGACCAAGCACTTTATCAGATTGCGTTCTAATTTCAAGGGCACAGAGCTGAGAAAATGTGTGTACTGGCCCGTTGATATTTGTATTCATCATACAATCTCACATGATTCATATTAATAAATCGATAGATAATAATGATCATGGCAGAAATTCTGTTTACATAATTTCAGCCTCAGGATTGAGATTATTCTCTGTGACAGGCCATATGGTCTTCAGTGTGCCTGCAGAGAATGAGGCTACCGCTGATAAAAGTATTCAGTAGCCTGTTTGGAATGCTTTTCGCGAGGCACACACGCACACAACTATCAAGTTTCTGATCCATATGGAAGAAATAACTGACTGACTTAATGAAGATGTTGAAAATCCAAATTTCTTGCCTCACGTTGAATGCAGAAGATTTGCAAACAGATTTCATATTGATAAAAGTATACTTTGGTTTTGCAATTCTATATTTACCATCATCATCCGTACCGACAGCCTGTATATGAAAGGGTGAAGGTAGTGACGTCTTTAAATTTCTAGATTTAATAGTGATTAC